CCAGATATATTCTCCCTAAACTTAACATCCATAATGGCAAAATTATTAGGAAAGTTGATGTAATTTCATGAAGACTTTCAAACTTGAAGTACAAAAAAACCTTCCATCAATATTCTACAAACACTCCAACCCCGCTTCTAGCAGTCAGCTATGAACTTAGTATTTGTGGGTCTAGGCTTTTTCTTCCCATTCAGTTTACTCACTTTACACAAAGCCTGTACCTTTGGAAGTGTAAGAAGGCACATGTGCAATTAGGAACACTAAAGATCCATTACAGAGAGTTAGCAATGCCATGCTTATCACTTGCTTTGTTAACAATCTAAATTTTAATACAAAATTTTTGAAAATCATTTATCCATCTTAAAAGGATAACACAGCCTGAACTGAAAGGAGGCAACATGATATTAACCTGAAGGCCTGTTAAACTGCACTGTGGTTATAAATTTTGTGGAATTTCTTTGTATTTACACTAACTGCCAAAACAGATTTAATCCTTTAAGGCTTCAAGATGTACATTTCTTGGCTTGTGTGCTGGGACATTTTTATACTGGAAAACGATGTATATTTTCCATATACACTCTTGGCTTCTTAAAAAATTGGGTAAAATCTACTTACTTTAAGGATAATGTAAAGACTGAGAGGCCAGGAAAGAGAATGGGAATTCAATGGTATGATAAACTCATGTCCCAGACATTGGGATATGGACTGAAATAAATTTGGACACTGAGAGTTAACAACTAAGTGCATCTGAGTCTTTGCCTGAGCTCAGAAGACTTTCTGCTGTCCCTAAAACCATGTAGCTACAGCGGACTAACAAAATCAATGTGAGGATGATTGTATGTCTATAAGGATGCTTGTACCCAGGCAGCTTCTTATGGGACTTATTTATGATAGCAAATGCAAAGGGATATTGTAGAGCTCAGAAGAATTGAAACAAGTCTAGTGCAGAAATTGAAATCTGCAAGGAAAATTTTATTAAGGTAAAAGGAAGCTGTGGATTTTTAATGTTGCTACTATTTGTGGATTAAGAACTATAGGACCGACTATGTATTAAAAATCTTCTACTTTTCAAGGAAACACAGAAAGGATTTGCAATGTTGCAAGGATAAGAGGTTTTCACTTAAATGAAAATAATCACAAACGTATAACTATTTCTATTGATTCCATTCTGAAGATGATCCCGCTGGAGTCAGTGATAGTTTTGCCATTGACTCTACACAGCATAGATGCAGGATAGACACTACATTTGCATTATAAGTCCATGTTGTTATAATTAGAAGTGAATTTAAATATTGATGCTTAACTCTGCATTGCAAGTTTCCAAGAGTCTCATGTTGTCTGAAGCTGCGATTTTGGTTTGGGCTCACCTCCAGGGCAGGGAGAGGCCGATTATCTGCAGAATCTAAGATCTTGGTCAGCAATATTTTTATATTTTTGTGGTTCAAATGATGGATGCTGTAGTATGAAAGCAATAGTTTTCACTCATTAATCATATTTCAGGAAATAGGAAGCACATGATCACCAAAAAACCCAAAGTATGAAAATGAAGACAGGAATTATGGTAAATTAGCTAGTGCAAAAACCTTTATTAGACCAAGAAATACAATCAGGAAGAAAAAGTTCCCTGGAGAAAATTTCACAGACTTTTTGTTCTTACTGATGCTATTTTTTTTTCTTGGAGGACTTTATAAGTTATTAGTCTAATAAACATAATAAAATATTAGCTATTACTCCTCTAGTAAAAATAGCTAAGAAAAAGAACATTTGCTTCTAAAATCTTTGGAAGAAAAGCATATGCATACATAAATAAACTTCTTATATTGTTGTTGATATAATAAATTATTCTATTGAAGATTACTATTCCCTGTTTTTTTTTGGGATTTCACAAGTGAAGTAGAATACACTCTGTTAAAAGACTTAAAAGCTAAGTAGCTGAAACTTTGCCTCTATTTACCAGCCGTAACTTGATTTTAAAGTTTTGGGATTTTACTGGCAGAGAAAGGATTTAAAATAACATGGAACATGTATCTCCCACCACCACTGATGACAGAACCAGCTGCTGCAGCAGAGAAACAAAGTCCCTGACTGCTCTTTTGTGTGATTCTTTCCATGGTTTATCCTCTCCACTTCTCACAGCCAGCAGCTTGAGGTTTCTTCCATCCAAGAAAGGATGTTTTTTAGCAGTCATGGATAGGAAAGTCATGGACAGGAAGTGGACAGTCATGTCCACATGACTGGAAGTTTGAAGTTTGAAACAGGAAGTTTGAAGAGTTTCTTTTGAGGATCCAATTAGTGCTTTTGGGCTCCACACTGCTCTTTGGAAGAAATCGCATATTGTGCTTGTGCTTCAGATAAAATGTGCTTACTTTGGGTTTATTTTAAACCTAGTGCTTACTGGCTTCCTTAGGCACCCTGAAGCAATTGCACTCTGAGAAATAAGAAGTGCTTTCTTCCTTTTGGATATTGTAGACACTTATTCATAGTCTAGTCTCCTGTCAGACAAGCTTCAGCTTAGGGTCCAGCACCTCTGCCATGCTCAGGAAGAGCTCAATATACCTGCCATGGGATGGGGCTGTGATATTTGAGTTATGCAGCCCATATGGAAAGAAACCATTAGATGTTTATAGCTTTCCCCTGGGGAACTAGGGCTTTCCTTTGGGGAACTTGGGAGCTCATTGCCATTTTTCTACGTAAAGTATGTAGATATGGAAGAGCCAAGTTTAGGGAAGTAGTCCTAAATTAACACATTGAGTATGAGCATCCTGACAGGTTTTGTTTTGCAATGACAGTAAAAGCTGCATTTTTTAATGACTGATGTCGTCTTTTTTTTATTTCTATTTTGTTACCACCACGTCTTTTCTTTGGTTGTGAGCAGTAAAAATCCCAACTAAACCTGCTAAGAAAATAAAGGAAGGAGTCACTTTTTGTAAGGTTCCCAAAGGTCAAGAAAAAATGCTTTCCAGTGATTTAGTGGGTGAAAAGTCTGGGTAGGAACTGAATAGATATACTGCACTCCCTGAGAAATGATGGAGAACAAAGAAAGCCTTAGATGGAAGGAGGAACTGTGAGCATGTGTGTGCACTCGTGTATTTATAAAGCAAACCTCTGAGCTCCGGGGTGATTTATTTATTTGCAAACACTGCTCATTTGGAGAGCCTCCTGAGATACACATCTCATCTTCGTGGGGGTCTCCACCCTGCTTGTAAAATGAAGAATGATGCATAAGGCTGTAAAATGAGGAAATAAATTTCTTTGCAAAACAAAGCCCAGCCAAGGTGCCTCACCACAAGACATACTCCTGGCACAACCACAAGGACTGTAGTCACCAGGAATATGGACAAATTGTTATGAGATAGAGGGAACCTTGAAGTGTGCTAGGATGTAGTGGTACATGACATTTGCTTAATAAGCAGCTGAAGTGTAACAACAATGACTTTCCTAGGGAAAAAGAAATCTTAAATTCTGTGTGTTCTGTTACTGATGGATCAATGGTCAAGATGAATTTAGGCCTTCAGGGTTGCATACATGAACACACATGTAGAGCTGTGCTCAAGCTAAGAAGCTGTATGCTACTCTTTGATGTATTGTAGCAGTGATGTACTGTCGTTGTGACTTTTGTGAGAAAAATCTATGAATTTTAGAATTTGATTTTACTGATCCAAGCATCTGGGTAGAGTGATCAATTACCAGATTTATTCAACACATTTCTGTTTTTAAAGTATAGGTGACATGTAAATTATCAAACTTACTTTTACAATGCTTGCATGATGGACAGTTTTGCCTTGCAAAATTAAGGTTATCCACATCCCTTAGAATAAGCAAGTACCTAAGACATTTTATAAAGCTGTGCCATGAAATCATGTCAAATAACAAAATTGGCACCCAAACTTTTGACTAGCAAGGGAAACTGCATTCAAGTATAATTTGGATATCTATGTCAAAAAATTGCTGCAAGATATCTCTTGGATTTCATGAGTCTGAAATCCCATTATTCCATGAGGCAGACTAATGCAGTGATGTGTTTATATAAATATATGCAGTTATTCTTTCACAAGGATGCTTACTATATTTTTTTAAGTGATTTCTTTTAAAAAATTTTCAGCAACTGTAAATATCTGACCTGAAGTTGTCTCCATGTAACAGCTGTATTTTACAGTACTACAGACTGGCTCCAGGGAAACCACTGTGGTCTCTCTCTTCCTGGTGTTTTGAAGCTCTATTGATATGATAGACCATAATGATTTGGAATGAGGATTATGGTCTATCACTAAATAGTGTGGTATTATGCACTTACCACAATATAGTTACTATGATTTTTTAAGACATATTCTTGGCAGTCTCATTCATTTGTGCAATAACAACTCACCCCAGCATAATTTATGTGTAAAAAGAGTAGGCTTATGCTTTGGGAATGCAAAGGAATTGCATTGGTACAGGTTGGAGATGCAGAACATCAGAAAGCAGAGGCTGCACAATCCTTAATGGGAAATGGTAGCCTATGCTTTTTATATTCTATCTTTGTGCTCTTAACAGCACACTTCTGTAGCCCCTCAGAAGTTCAGGTTATGTATAAATAAGGGCTTCCAGAGCAGGGTGCAAGACAAAACGAATTGCCAGAGCTCCTTTTCCTCTCAACTTCCCTTTGCCCTGTGGAAAAATGTCACTAAAGCAAATTTAATCTTATTTTTCTCATTGCTTTTCTTTGCCTTTTATGCTTGCACTGAGCATAAGAAAGAACTTAAATAACTCCAGTGTGGTAGTTTAGTCTGGGCCTTCCTTGGTGACCAGTTTGTAACCAAGGAAGTGCCCAGATCTACCCGGTATTCCCTACGATTTTTATGTAAGCCGGAGTATAAGAAGAAAGGAGGAAAGGCCTTCGCGCTCTTTCCTTCCGGCGGCTTGGAGGTGCAGGTTCCCTGCTGTTGAGTCTGCCGTGTTGGGGAGTGAGGCCTGGTTAGGCCTTGCCGACCTTGGGAGACAGAGGTTGCCGGCGATCGTTCCAGTGCGACTTTCTGTTGTCCCAACTTTCTGTTGGAGAGTAGTAAGATATTCTTTTGCTAATTCTTTTAGTTGCTAGATCTTGGGCTATTGATCATGTATATTTTATTTTGTTTGTGTTCCTTTTTCCCTTCCCCCTTCCCTTTCCCTTTTCCTTTTGAAATTGTACATATATTTCAATTGTATATAAATGTAATATAAGTGTAAATATATTTATATGTATATTGCTTTAGCTGCCTCTCTCTTGTTTCGGTTCTCTTGGTTTTTTTTTTCTCCCCTTCTCCCTTGGTTTTGGGGGGGGGGGCAGAATTCTTGTGATGAGGAGAAGCCAGCTTCAAACCATATCACTCCAGATGACTTTTTTCCAAATTTTCCCTTTGAGAAATTAGAAAACAAAACGTATGCAGCAGATGGTGTTGGTGGCTTAGTAGGATTTAATCACATTGGAGGGAAGGTTAATATTCTCAGAACAAGCAGAAGTTCTAGGGCATTACTTTTCATTTGTAATGTCCACACATATCACTGATATACCTTCGAGAGTGGTATCATGGCTCACTGACACTAGTAGAAAGAGTTTTCTGATTTTAGTTTTTAAGGATGTTTTCCTCCATAAGATGGAAAGTGTCTGTTGGTGTATCACAAGGGTGGTTTAAAGAGAGGGTATAAAGCTGTAGTAGAGAGGTCAGGAAAAAGGAAGCTTCAAACACTTTTTTCTCTGTTAAAAGAAAGAGCTAACAGGAGGTCTGACTTTAGTGAAAAAAAAAAGAAGGAGAATTCAAATAAAAAAAAAAATTGTAATTGTGAATGAAATAAAGTGGAACCACAATCAGAAGATAAGTCAGACAACAATGCCTTGAAATGGCAGATTAGACATTTGAGCATACACAATGCTTCTTGGTGGTTGCAGTCACTACCAAGCCCCAGAAAGGCAACCTTGTTAACTTCCTTAACCCCACCAGTTCTTACTTCCTTCTAAGGTCAGAAAGAAGCAGTGTTTGCAGTGTCTTGGTGTTGAGTTTCTGTATACAGAAAGAATAAATAATTATTTTCAACTTTCATAAATTATCATACAGGAGGAAACCTAACAAAAAAGGGTATAATGTGCAAATGAGAGCTCAGAATTTAAGTGTGTCTTGTCTGCAACCCTTTGCCCAGCACTGGGTAAAAATATGGCTGTTGCTGCCCTCAGCGGAGATCTGTATAGAAAGGAGGTCAACCTCACATCTCAGCTCTTAACAGGCTCTTAGACATGCAAACAGTCTTGACGGCTAGAAAGCTAAACTCACTACACTCAGTTACAGTTCAGCCAGAGAGAACGGTATTCCACGTGATTTATGTGACATTGTGTGTGGTAAGTGAGTGTGTTAATGTATTTTTTCACTCCATATTTATTGCCTGGCTAGACTTCTCTTGTTCTGACCATGTGCTCTTCTCTGACAGATCAGAAAAGTCATAATAAGCAACTGCTCCTTTTCTACAAACACTCTTGTGTTTGGAGCCTCACAAGGTCAATCTTCCCTCTGTTTCTCTTCCCATGGAACAATGCCATGAAAGAGGAGAGACTGAGACTGTCAGAAATTGTGACCTATTTTAAAGATGCTGGAACATAGTGTGCAATGTTCATCCTCTTTGATAGAAAACTCACTTTTGTTTTCCACAGACAATATTTCTACAGCTGAAAATGGATGTAAAGCAAAAGCTGTTGTTGTGTTAGACTAAGTTGTTTCTCTGTGGAGAAGCAGCTAATGGAAACAGAGAAGGGCAAAAAACCATCAGGACAGGTGAGCCTTCAGCTACACAGCCATAGTCAACATCATTTGCGTTGACTCCATCAACACAAAAGGACAAGGCTGTGCAGAGTTGCAATCTTTGCTAGGCTGATCATACTCTGAGTATTACTTCATATGGTAAAGGCTGGGCCTTGAATTATATATTGTGGATTTAGGTTTGATCTCCTATGATAGAATTTGGCACTAAATCTTCTACTGAAATTATCCTGAAATATTTGGCTGTAACTAAATTGTGTTTAACCTGAAATAGGAACTGCTGTGCAGTGGCAGCTTACTGCCATAATGGCAGCACATACTAAAAATAAAGGTGCAGTATGCTAACTCAGTGCAATCAACCAGATTGATTAGACACTATTGATAAATACATATTTATTCTTCTAAACGCATGGGAAATCTGCTTCTATGTAGGTCTTCTTTTCAAAGTCCAACTGCCCCATCTTATTTACCATTTGATGCTGCCAATGTAACATGCTTTTGTGAGGTGGAGGCAGTGCTTTATTGTCTGCAATCAGAACATTTAAAATATATTACATTTAGGAGTATCAGAGGTCATTATCAAGACCTGTGGGTCACAGCTGTAGTTTTCTTTGGATAGACATTCATCATCAAGAAAGAGCCTTCTGGTCTGGTTTCTACTCAATGTAAAACTACATAGACTTTGGTGTGTACCTGTAAGTGAAATGTTCAACTCCTGTTATAGTAGACTGGAAGCAGGAGTCAATTGCTTCTTCATAGGTTTCTAAGCATACCCAAGATGTCCAGGTTACCCTTGCTGTATGGCTGGTGCTCTGGATAGACACATATCTGTTTATCAGCCCTGTGTGGATGTCTCAGACACCCTGGAACAATTCCAATGGCACCACACACTTCTGCTTGGGCAAATGAACCACCAATTGACTCAATTCTGTCATTAAACTTCGGGCATCATTCAGCCATGTAGCCAGTAGCTGTCTCTTACGTGGTAGGGTAGACTGTTCTCTAAATTGACCAGAGGCATCACTCAGCTGTTTTGAGCATTCAGTACTGAGATGCTCACAGGCATCCTGACTTTGTCTGGCTTCCATCTGTTGCTCCAAGCAAGGTATGGTCTCCTGAAAACTTTTTATTGAATCTCCAGGTCCACACTGTCCCAGACATAGGCACTTTTGGTGGCGGCAAAGCCCAGTGTTTGGGCAACTGAACTAATAACTGTATCTCCAATGACTATAATGCAATTACTGGCTCACAAGTACTTAGCTGTATTCAGATGTCTTACTCATGAACCGCAACTTTCCCTCTTTCTCACAAGATACAAAATTTTTCAAACTGAGGCACACGGTCATCTGTAGATTGGTCCTGAGAGGTCTGCAAAAGATGTCTTAGCAAAACAGGTATATGTATGCCAGAAAGTTCAGCAGGTATATGAAATTTTGAAAGGGTTTGCATCATCACTGTAGATTCAGCAGGACTCCATGTGTTGAAGTGTTTACAAAACTTGAATTGAAATTTTAGACACTACAGTGTGTGGGTGTACATGCTGCTGCCTTTCCTTACCAGAGGATAGACAAACTTTTGTAAACAGAGGTTTTTTCAGAATGGAATTGTTTTGCTAGGCTTAAATAGTTATGAATAGTTATAAATGATAACGTAAGAAACACCATACTGTTTAGACCAGTGGTCATTCTAGTCTAGTATTTCCTCTCTACCAGCAGCAGAGAAGTTGGTTTACTGGGGAAGCATGCAAGCCTAGTCCTTTTAATATCTTGGGTAGTCCGTCTAGTATCACTTTATGGACAAGTTTTCTACAAATTTGTCTATTCCTTTTGTGAACTTGTGTTTACTTATTTCAGTCTATACCAAAGTGGCTGAAAGCCATTTATCAACACACTGTAGTCAGTAGTCAGCTGACACCTTAACAATCACGTGTGTTGATATTATTTATACTAGTATTTAAAATTTATATTTCAGGTGTATCTTCTGACGTCTAGAAGGTCATGGACCGAAGGTGTTAGGCACTATAAAAAGCTGGACTGTCCGTAATCTATCTACTGGGCAGGGGTTTGCTGTTTTTCATGTTCCAGGAAAAAACCCAACCATTTAAATGGAATTTTATCTTCACGATTTGGCCTAGTTTTTTTCCCACTGATAAGAGGAAAAAACATGAATGCTTTTACTTTAAAAATATTTGAGTGGAACCTTTGTTAATGTTGTGAAACAGCAGTAACTCTGAGTCACAAAGTACTTAGTTGAGATATTATACAATCACAATTTGTATCAAGTCCCTCCTGCTGTTTTAATTTTTGTCTGCACCCATTTTTCATGTTGACTTGACAGGGTCAGGATGTAGTCTTAGAAATGGTGCATTTATCTTGCAGCGATAAAGTTTATGCCTTTAATGTTACCTTTCAAATATAAGAGAAGTCTGACAAATTGTCTGGGTTGTTTCAGGGTTTATTTGCTGTAGTGCTTTCTGGTTATGAGCATTCCCCATTTATTTCATGCAGCTACTGACTTCAGTTCATTAAAGCAATCTAGTTGTATACTTTTCAACAGGACCAGACACCTGCTAAGAGTTATGCACGTGCTCAGATGCCCTTCTGAATCAGTCTTTGCCTGGAGAGCTGTTAGGGGAAGCTACAGGAACTTCTGAAAAGACATGATATGATCGTATCTAAGTCAGATCCCTATTTGTACTGAACTATTTTGATACATATGTACTACACTGTGCAAGGCAATTTGTCCTCCCTCTGGCTGTCTGCATCCTTGGTATTCGTTCATAAAGGCATATTCAAAGGTAAGTCCTCTCTACCCTTGTGTTTTTGAAGTTACTCCTACCTGCTATGTCTTTTGAGTTTTCCTTTCTTGTTCTATGAAGTCAAGGCTGGCAGAATTTCACAATACCCAGCCAATACCCATGTTAAGTTTTGGGAACAAACTGATGTGTTCTTCCTTTTTCTCATTTCAGCTTAATAAAATCTTCCCTTGTGCAAATTCTCAGCAAATGACAATCTGACATTTTCCAGATGATGCAGGGATAAGAACTGGGGATCTGTTCCTTCTTTTTAAGACAAAAAACCTCAAGTAAAGCCAGATGGGAATTTTGCCAACAGGAGCTGATCTCACACAGAGATGTCCAAGTGAAGTGGGCAGTGGGAAGAGGAATGCAACCATGCTGCCAGAGAGGTGACGGAAGGGGCCCGAAGAAGAGCCCATCCCCCTAGTCAAAACTCAGAGGTGGTGAGCATGGTTTCACAAAGTCTGCATGGAACAGAGTATCTGAAGGGCTTGCTCAGGTATCTTGCTGAACTGGTTTCTTTGTCAATGTCTTCAAAGAAAAAGCTGATGATCAACAAAATGGTGTGGCGTTGAAACGTAAATCTTCCGGTGAATTTTCCTCCTGCCTTCACATGTCCATGTAGATCCAGACACAAGGCTCATGGAGTGATGGATAACTCACAGATGAAGCTGATGTATCAGTCTTAACTTGAACAAGGCCTTTTCTCTCCTTTTTATTGCAGAGGGTAAAGGATGTGGCCTTATCTTGGGCACACCATGACTCCTGTCAGTTGGTGTCACAGTTGGAATGTTATTTAAATCCAATTTCTTTTATCTGAAAGTATTTATGTGAGCAGATAAAGCATTATGCCTCTGTCCTAAAGTGCCCTGCTCCACTTCAGTGCTGCAGATAACATTGACTTGTGCTGGAGCTGCCACTCTGCGGACAGGAAATCAATTCTCTCCCCCATTCTCTGCTTGATCTTTCATGGTGGATAATGGGGATGTGTGTGTGATGCTACTGACAGACCCCAGGATGCAGTCCATTAGGAGGTTAAAGGGAATCTCATCTTCAAACTGTAGGACTCGGCCTTTTTTTTTTTCTGCTGTAGTTGTATTTATTTGAGGTGGGGAGGAAAGTGGGACAGTTCAAATCTGTATTTACTGCTTTTCTCTGACTTGAAACCTCAGTTTAGAAGCCAGAAGGTCTCCTCTCACTCTTCTAACCACTCATAAAGAGCTTACTCAAGCAGAGCTGTTAATGTAGCTGAGAGAAAGTACTATTCAGCATGAGTGAAACCGTCAAGAACTGTCTTGAAGTGGAATATATGAGATTTATGGATTTGAATGCAAAAAACATTAACTGAAATGCAGTCAAGTGCTTTCTAGGACTGCTGATAGAGCCCTTTTTAGGACGAAGCAGAAGAGTTGGGAATGAAGGAGTGAAGTTGAGCCTGGAAGAAGGGAAGCAAGGGGAAAAGTGTTTTTAGCTTTGCTTTTGCTTCTCACTATCCTACTCTATTTTTTAACTGGCAATGAATTAAACTATTTTTCTCCAAACTTAGTCTGTTTTTTTATATGACAGTAGTTGGTAAATGATCTCTCTGTCCTTATTTGAAACCATGAGATTTTTAATCTTTAAATCTTCCCCTGCCCTGCTGAGGAGGTGGAGTGAGAGAGCAGGTGGGTGGCACCTGGAAGCCAGCCTGAGTTAAACCACCACAGTCACCCATGCACTCCCTGAGGTTAGTGTTAGCAATCTCCATTAGAAGTTCTGAAAAGTTAATTGAGATTTGTGGACTGGGAGATGGGAAGCTGAATGAAAAAGTCATATGCAAAAAAGCTGGACACAGAGATTCTTATGGCTGCACCTAGGTTTTATGAATGTCCCTGATGTAGGAAGAAGAACATGTCTTGTGTAAGCTCTGGTAGAAACATAAAGAGGAAAAACGTGCATCCCTACATAGCTCTATTTCGTACACATGTAGGGAATTTTGGGTTTTTATTATAACTAATAATCAAAGAGAAACAATTAAAAATATTGTTGTATGTAATCACAAGCTTAAGAAATCTCTTTAAGAAATGGACACTGACTCACCTTCCTTAATCATCAGATGATGCATGTAAGTGCCCTTTCAAGTCGGTGGAGAGAAAGAAATATTTCTGGTGTTTGATAAATATAATCTACAATTTGGAACAAATACAAGGAGGCAAATTTTACAGGTTGTGTAATGATCCTCTGGAATATGCTGCCAGTGGAGCACATACAGTGTCTGCAAGCACAATAAAGGCTTAGATGGGTTTGTGGACAAAATGGATGTTAAGGGGAATGGTCAGGGTTGTATCTTCCATTGTTCCTAATCCATTGACCTTGCACACTGGTAGGGTACAAGGGCAGTGGCCTGCAGAAAGTATCCAGAGCTTTTCCTAGCAGCATCCTCTACTGCTGCAAACAAAGCACTGGACTCAAAAGGACACTTCTTGTGCTCTGATATTCCCTATGGCCCCAGGCATTATTCCTCGATCTCCACCTGACTCTGGATACTGCTTCCTCTCCTTCTCACCCTCCCAGGTCCAATTGCCCTGTACATGTCACACAGAAAATATAGAGACAGGGACATGAGGACAGAAAGGTGAGAGTTGACGGACAGACCTTACTAAAGTGTAGATACTGTGTATTTTTTTGTCTTTTACTCCTAGGATACTCTCTGAGGTTACTCTGCTTGGGAAAACATGTAGATGTTGTTTATACGACAGTAATTGGTAAATTTCAGTTACAAAAGAATGATATTTTGTTGTACTAGTAACTGGGAAAGTGTTCCGTATCTAACAGCTTTGGGTATTGTATCAGCCTTGAATATTTCTTCCAAATAGTTAATAAGCACAGCTCTTATTAGTAATACTGTGTAAAGAGCAAAGAGCATCCCCACTTAAGGGATGCTCTTGTTTCGTGCACAAAACTGGAATAACTAGAGCCGAACTAAAGAGGTCAATTTGGTTGGAGTGGAAATAAATGTGAAATAACCCAGACCACAAAGAGACCCACCACTCAAAGGTGCTGCAGTGCAGCTGAGTAACCCCTCTTGGTGCTGAAGCACAAATTCTGTAGGAAGGACAGGCTAAAGGGATGGTATTTAATCCACCTACCTTGAAATATTGGCATTTTGGAGAGAGCCACCCAAGCTAGTTGCTTAGAGGCCCTTTTCTGTCAGTGGGAGAAATAGGTGCTTCTGGGGTGTGATTTGTATAAGGTACTTCACACTTTTCTGCTGGGTTGAGACTTATGGAGTTGCAGATGTCTGCATGTGGGCTGCCTACAGTGTGACCAGAAAAATCTCTAACCTGAGGACTGAAGCCAACAATGTGGGCTGGATATGGCAAAGAATTTCTGTCAAAAGTGGGGAGAGGCAAGAGGAAACGATCATGGAAAATGGCACCAAGGTTCCTTTCCATGTGTGGAAAATTTAATTTTTGAACTTGCCATTTACATTTCAAAATAAACATATATAGAAAAGGGTTAGTAAAAGGAGTGAAATAGCCTTAGGGGAAAACAATGCTCTAATTTGGACTGAGCAATACTTTTAATTTTGATCCAAAGCTTACTTTTCTAAATTCATTTCTCCTAATAACCATAAAATAGTATTTGGGCTGAGCCACACTGAAGTGTGGATTGTGTGGGCTTAATAACCCCACTAAACGGAAACAAAAAAGACCCCAGTCTATTACTTGCCTTTAGACATTCATTTTCCTACTGCTGTGGGAAACAGTTGTGATTACAATGGTAACATCTTTTCTGCTTTTGCCTCTCCTGTTATGTAGATTGCCATGCTGGGGACCAGAGATCACCTACAAGACCCATCTGCGTGCAATGTTCTTTATTCCTCCCTTTTGCCCTACTTGGTGTGTAGATGTTGTACTTGTCACTCAGGAGTTTGTGCAAGTGCATGACTCTGAAGGATAAGGGTGAAGCTCTGGAAGCATTTTTAAGAGAGCTGAGATCAGCTGGTGACAGCAATTTTTCCTTGGGTTTTCTGACTCTGCCCATGGCATTGAAATGGAGGTGTAGTGTAACAGCAGTCCTCAACATATTTTGAATCCTGCTGACTTTCAACACAAAAAGCAATATTTTTGTGGTATAAATAAAATTTTAAAAAGCTCCATTTGTCGGAAATTAGTTTTGCCATTGTGTTATGAGACTAAGCAGAAGAATCCTTCCTCTAGAATTTCTAGAGTAAACACAAACCCTAATAAGATGGGGTTTATCTTTGGAATGGAAATATTTTTCTACACAATTTTTTGAAGTTGTGTTTTCTAGAAAACAATATTTTCATAAATTCCCCTTCCTGGGTTAAAAAAAAGTATTTTGGGTTATTTCCAAACCCAGAAATACATTGATTTAGGAAATCTGTTTTGTTGTCCTGTCAGATTTTGTAGCTGAAATGTGTAGTTTTTCCTTTCTTTGTGAGCTGAGTGTCCGTGCTGGGCTCTCTCTTTCCTCACCACTGCCTGCAAGGTTCATGGCATTGCCTCCCTGAATTGGAAGAGTGGAGGAAGAGGGTCATTGTGAGTGATAGAGGTTGTTGGGCATGTAGGAAAATGTAGTATGAAAAGAAATTCATAGGATGAGGATCAAGCTGCATCAAGGCTGCTCTTCTAAATAAAATATTTCATTCTTCACCAAAGTATTTAATTTTTTAATCACTACTTCAGAAGTACGCATTTTTCCCTTTTTCCCCTAGCTGCATTTCCAGGTTATCATTCCTGACAGGGGTTTCTGTTCCATTTTTAATAATGGGGAAAGCAGCATGGGTCTTCTGGGGCAGAGCAGGAGTCTGTGTAAAAGATTATCCATAT